GAATTCGGAGGTATTTTATAATTTAATTGTTACACGCGTTTAATACGTAACGTAAAATAACCCATGCGAATGTGCAGAGCGATTACGGACAGGATAATTATAATACATTAATTCGGTCAATTAAAATTGCTTTTGTATAATATGATGACGATAGTCTGCGGCCGCAGATTTATTCCAAAAGGTGGTTCCGTGACAAGCGAGTAAATCCGTCGACGAACGCAAATCGGCGACGGTTTAATCATAATCGCTGGTGCCGAAAATACTACAAAGCGCACGTCCGACCAGGGTATAAAATCAAACATACTATCTCCGTATTAATGTATATTTACGTATATTACTACCTATATTAGTACAATTACAACGACGAGTGTGTATACAGGTTGATTCACTATAAACAACACTATATACATACTCACTAATATTTTTTTGTCTTAAATAATAAATTTATTTAAATTGTAATTTTTGGAATTTTTAAATTTATAAGTCTTAAGAACCATATTTTTAATATTTAGATTTCTTATAGGTACTATTTATGAAGTGTCCTGTGGCAATACCATTTTTTTTTCGTAAATAAGAAACAATCTTTATTAGGTACTATAATTCATTTATCAGATATCTAATGTTGATGTAAAAAATAAATTTATATTAAAAAGTATAAAATCTGTGTTATTTAAACAGATACTCTAAGGATAATAGAGTCTTTAAACATGATTTAAAAAAGTATACAATGTGTATGGCATATTGGATCTAGTACCTATTTAATATGTATTTATTTTTATATTATTCAAAATTCGAATTTCATACATTGAGGATTTTTGAGAATTATAAAATGCAGATGGATTAATACTAATACAAACATTTTAAAATCTTCATAGCCTCATATCTTCCAAACCCATAATCATGAGAAGTTAAATTAACTAAACATACAAAGTTAAATAACTAAAAAAAAATTAGTCATTTGAATTCCGATCACAACGTTTTATAAAAAGTCTTGTGATTTACAATTTACAGAAAAAGGAATGATTCGCATTTTAAAAATATGAGTGGTACCACATAACATTCCTAAAATGGAAGTTTTTGAAAATACAGCGTTTCATTAAGTATATTTAAAAGTTCTAGAAATCAGAATTTTATTAAATCGCCATTAAAACATGGGGGTTGGCATGCTTGGTGAATCACTCTGTAGGTCTATAAAGCTATACCACCGTAATTTGTTAGTTATATTCCGGCGTCCAATAAAGATCAGCTATCAAACGTGAAATATCAACCCATATTTCGGAAAATATTCTGAATACGTTTTGTTTTAGGTGAATTTATAACTTTTTGTGTTGCCACAGTTCTACGATATAATTATTTTAAGTACTGATATTCGAAACACCGTTAGACTTCTTTCAGTCTATGATTATAATATTATTTGAGCCATGTTTTTACATTCCTTTTTTTGTGAAAACAGCATACAATATTGTCAAACGAAATCAAATAGTTAAGAATAATATTCAATTTCTGTGACGATAATAATAAAAACGTTGAATACGTACATCGTGCATAAATAACTACTACGAGGAAGCGGAAGAAGTGAATGAATAAATATGTTTATCCCACTTTGAAATCAAGCAGCATTTGCTTTTCTTTTCATTATTATTTCAATTTCCATTTTTAACAATAGTATAGTTCAATAAATCAGATGATAAATTAAATATTAAGGTAGGTACAACTAAATAATCGAAAAATATTCTTTCTGATAATTGAAAATCATAATTATTACAACTTTACATTTTAAAACCGTAAGTCGACATATTATGTACTTATACATGGTTACACTGTTTTTATATGGCCCAGGAAGAGATTGTTCCAATTACTATGAAAAATTGAACAACATCACGAGTTTCAGAGTTTCCAAAGAATATTCCAAATTATTTATATAGATAAATCAATAGTAATTACTAATTGCTAAAATGTTCAAATTACCTAAGCCCCCATATATACTTAACCCATTGCCGCATAGACATATTATCTTTGGTACACATACTCAACAAAATTCTCAAGTACTGGAAAAAAAAGGTCATCAGATGTATTTAAAAATTCCAAATATCATAACTTTGATATATACATAATTTAAGCATGAAATAGGGTGAGTGTGCTTAAAAAATCAGCCTCTATTAATATGACAAAGTTGTCGAAAACCGTCGAGTATAATGCATTGCACACATAGCACTATAGCAGGCAGCAGCCATAATAATTTAATAATATATATATATTATATAATATCTATGTAATAGTGGGATGCCGTAGGTACGTATTACAAATTACAAGGAAGACAGACACCTATATCTACCTATATTTATGCAAAATATATGTACATAACATGTATTTTATAGTATACATATTTGACGTCCATAATTGACACGGTTTTAAGTATGACCAATTAAAACATCATCGCCCAAGCCGAGTAACTTGTACATTATTATACATTATTACATTAATATTATGTATACAAGTATACACGGTGCACAACGTGCAAGTTCGACGTGTATTATGGGTAGATATAATACATATTATACATATTATTATTATAATGTACTCCTCCGACGATGATCTATTATAAACGCGTAACGGCTGGTCATAATAATATGATCATAATAATAATAATAATAATAATAATAATAATAATAATAATATGATTGCGTTATAATATATTCCGCGGTATACGCGAAATATACACGCGAAACCAGAACATATAATATATATATAAGCTATATATAGGTATTTACGATATTATTACTATTGTTATACCGCATATATTATATAATAATTATACATACCTACGTCATAATATAGTATATTATATACCTATGTATATATAATAATAATAATAGCGACAGGCCGAATATTGCAGAATATATCATTGAGAATTCAGCTGCAGCGATAATACAGCACAATCGTCTTATAGGTGTATAAAACGTCATTTAAACCTACATATAACATGGATCTCTCGAGTGACATTCAAAATCTTTAAGTCAATTACATGCATCATATTAAATTCAAAATAATTTTCTTAGGTTTCTTTCATTTAAATGCCATGTAGAAAGAATTCTGCGCTCACGGTATAATATACAAATATACAATAGTGTCAAAAGATTTTAAATCCACAGAAAATTAAATTTGTATTCAGTGAAAACGAATGCTAATAATCCTGTTTAAATTATTAAATGACATAATCGACTGCCCTAAATTATTATAACGTATTAGTTTTAAAATAAGTAGAGCGGGATCACGTGAGAAATCTTTAGCCTATCTGAAAAGAATTACAAAAAATGGCCTATTAAATTCACTATGCAATGCCCTTTATGTTCTTATAGGTAACAATAGAAAAGGTTTAGATTTTTTCAATTTATCTCTTAACGAATTCTCATTACAAGAACTGTTTAAATTAAAAACCATTATTATTATATTGTTCATTATAGTTTTATTAATTCATATACCTAGTATAATATTATGTATTATACATTTATACATTTATACTCTTATACTTAACTCATTGTTTTTCATTTTCCACTTTCATGTGTTAATATTATTCTTGTATTATATTTTACTATGTTTTATTATGAAATTATTTAAGCTATGTAATGTACTAGTGTGTAAATAAATATATTACATTGCAGATATTACTCTGTCTTGCAATTGGAATTGGAATTTTACTTCGTAAAATAAAATACGGTATGATATTATATGCACTATACACGTCATATATAAATACTCTTGCCAGGTGGATTTCGATGCATGGTAAGGAATAAGGATATCGTCTTAAATGTTGTGTATACTATTATAGACTCGTATACATAGGTACTATACTACTATCCCACCATTTTAATCGGCCTTTTAATTGCACTCAACATCCTTAGTGATTTTCTAAGTCAGCAGTCACGATGGTTTATACACGGCCTCTTTTTAAAAAAATATAATTGAAAATGTTATTATTTATTAAAATATGAAATAATATATGATAAATATATTTTTTGAAAGGCTCCTTAATTTATTATTTTCAATAGCATATTGTAGGTAAATGTGGTTTTTTCTTTTAAAATGACAAAATTCAATCAGACCATAGTCTGCAATATATATTAATCATATACCTACTTCTTTATTTCAAAGTTATAACTGTTATAAAAAAAGTAAAATGTAATGATTTCAAGATTCGTTTTAATCCATACTATATAATTTATGTAGGTATAGGTATATAATCAAAAGTATGTTTTCACATCGCATTTTAATTTATTATATACAATTTGGACAGTGAAAAACTGTAACTGCATTGAAATATATCTAATGGCTGAATGATTTATATTTATGATTATAATAGGACTAAAAATCTATCCGCATGTAATGAACGTGTTTTAAAATGTACGAACTTCCGTCATGGAATTAATATTTTATTAAAAACTTTGTTTTAATCAAACAGATAAATTCACAATTGTTTTGTATGTTTTACATACTCCAGTGAATAAAAAAAACTTATTTAATATTATTTTTTTGAAATAATATTCTAAATTTACTTTGAGTTTTAACTTTTTATAGCATTTGTAATTTAAAACTGTACCACAAAGTCCACAACTACGGTTTTATTTTTCCCTGATGACTAGTAACTATAAAATAAAAGGTATTTTTAAATCATAAACATTTTTATTTTATTGAATGAAATTCGAATGAAAAGTATTTTTTAATTCATTTTACTCTCAATGAATAATTATTATATGCACAAGACTACGCTAAGAAAAAATGCAACGGTCAGCTCAAGAATTAATTCAATGTGACTGCTAAAGCAATCCACTGAATTTAAAACTATGACATTAACTTGTAAATTAATATTATTATTGACACTTTTTTTACTTATTATTATTGTTATATCGAACAAATGTTTAGTTCATTATTATTTGTTATTTAAAAAGAACTCATTATCCACTTGTTCCAACCAGTATAAAAACCATAATTATTAGGCTTACCTTTGAAAACGTATTCTTAGCGTAGTGCATGATGGAATCATAATCATATGGAAGGCCCAATGAATTTACTTCTTCTTCGGTTAATTTATTGAAATTGTATTCTTGTCCTAATAAACAGATAAATGAGGAGTTAAAAATGCGAATATAATCAACTTTATGTTGTTTTCTTAAAATAAAACAATTTCAAATTAATTTCGTTTAATTGAATCACGTACTTATAAATCCCTTTTATACAACAAAAAAACTATATACCTATTAATTACAAATTACGATAAGTAATAACAACAAAAAGTGACTGGTAAAATACTATTAACTCTATAATCATCACAAAGAAACCGATTTAAGATTTAGAGCATAGCTTCATGTTTAAAAATAACAAACATAAATAATATTATTTACAGGCGTCAATGATGATATAATAATATAAAATATTGTTATACCATTAATGTATTACTTAATATTTTATGTTTTTTTATTTTTATTTATTTAATATATTTAATTCCTTAAAGTACGCAATATGCATATTATATCTATGTTCTTTTATACTTAACACAATAATATAACCTAAAATATCTGAAAGATCATAAAAAATTATTTTAGGTGAAATCATTTTATCTATGTTGCTCATTGGTCTGAGAGTAAACAAATATTGCGCTGACATTTAAAAAAAATAGTATAGATCTTACAAAAAACTATTCATGTTTTTGAACCCTTGAAAACAAATATCCAATAAACTAATTTCTGTATAAGTATTACTTAACTAAGTATGCATATAATAGGTATGTATACAGACGAAAATAGTATGGTTTTGTATACCGCACTATGGATTACGATGAGGGTCGTCTACGAAAACACGGAAACACTCATATAAATTACGTTTGACCGTTGCTAGCAATATTTTAGTTAACGATATTGATGATTAATGGATGAATAAGCATGTATAGCTCAGTGAAGATCGAATTCATGAACCGACCACCAGCGTGGCGGCGGATGATTTATCAGCTCTCGGGCGCAAATTTTGCATTCGTAATTTTACTATCACTGCACGTGAGTGTAGGTATATAAGTGAGTAATGAGTTTAAATAGTACATTTATACCCGTGGACCATTGACAGATTGACTCCTGCAGCTATTTAAACACGTGTAAGCTTTGGTTCGTCTCCGATTAAAAATAATTAAATCGTTAAACGATTCACACTGCCCATGATATTTTGTAATTAGATTATAATATTATTCTACAAAATAATAGTAATATAATCATACCGCAAACCGTTTCCGATTGTTGCAAAACGATTTTGCGATAAACGTTGTAGAATATAGGTATTGCGACATTAAGAACTTTACAATCAAAACAAGCAGTATAATAAAATAATGATATAATATGTTCATTATGATAATATGTATGATGGATATTAAAAATATAATTCAATAATATTCAATATTCATGAATTATTGAAAATAGCAAAAATGTGGTTATCTTATATTGTTCTTACTCTGTGAAACTTAACCATTTGTGTTGGTATTGTTTGTTTATGAAATTGAATTATTAATTTTTCAACGAAAGAAGTACAGTTATTGGAATTTTTAAAAATAATAACCCGACATTTTCAATTTGAGCATGGAACTTATAAGGCTTTATATATTGTATGTGTAACAGTAACAAATGATTGACTTTCGAGAAAGGGAAAAAAATTCATTTCAAAGAAATAATATATTATTAAATTGATATTTTATCAAAATATTAATAAAATATGTCTTCCACGAGAAATAATAATAATATTTTTCCAATTAGGTATATTAGAACAATAATTTTCAACAATGAAAATTTGCAAGTTTCTTCTCACTATTTAAGTATCAAACAATAGATATCTGATTATATTTTCATCACATGCATCGTATCTGTTGTAAACAGAAAAATAAAATATAACACAAGACTTAAAATATTTATTTAGAATATTTTTGACTGAACTGCGGGGATGCCCACGGAATACCAAGAGATATTTTAAAAACACAAGTGCCAATCACGAAATGGAAAGGTTGGGTAAGGACTCTCTCATTTACAGAGACACACGGAGAACGCCTTAAGGAATTTATTATTATTTCCAACTCAATAAATGTGTGAGTTATATGTTTATATAATGTAATATAATAGCGATAGTGTGGTACGAATCAAATTTTATCTATTTGTCATTCGCCGAATAATATTATGTTTGAAAAAATGCAATATAATGTACAATATTTTATTATGATATAATATGATGTTTTGAAATATTTTCACATCGCCTTACCGACTATGATGTGATCTCTCACGATCTGCACGTGATTGTCACGATCCGGCCTGGTGTGTTCGTGCCAGAAGCCGACCACATGTCCAAGCTCGTGCACGACAATGCCAAACTTGTCGCAGTTTTTGCCTATAGATATCGCCTGCGGACCGTTGCCACGTTTGCCCACGAAAGAACAGCATCTAAGAGAAGAGGGAAAAAATGAATATACACATAAATCTTCAATCTATAATGTGAACTACCAACAAGAATTATTTAAATACTTAGTTATTTGGAATGTTCATATAACACGCCGGCGAAGCGTCCGCCGGGATTCCTACACGACATGATTATACATGTATATGGTAATATATTGTTATGTTATAATGGCCATCCCCGCACATAATACTATATTATTTATCATTTCCATAGACCTAATCGTGACTGAATTTTATTCCCGCCTAAAGTTATTATAAACTATATTAAACCAAATATATTGATTAGAAACATAAATTCTAAAATGTCTATCAGTTAGTACTTATGATAATGTAACATAAGACAACCTATATCATTGGCCACTGTCGCATACTCGCATTGTCTTAATTAAGTCTTCTTTTTAGTTTATACACAGTGGCTAGAAAGTTATGATATTTAAATGGTGGATGAGTAAAAAATATTAAGTAGGTAATTTAACTTGTTAGTCTAAATATTAAAACAGTTAGCATTATTTAGTTAGAAATTTGAATTGATGTTTTTAAAAGCATATTTTATATAGTTCATAAAAATTAATAATATAATAATTGAGTAAGTTGTGTTTGTTAATTATTTGTAAAACAGTCAGTAAGACATTGTATTCAAAATGCAAAGTGTACGTTTAGCAAAATTTAGACAGTATATTTAAATAGATGAGCGTATAGGTATAGCTATTACATATTATGCAAAATCGAACATGGACGCGAAAACTTAGATTTTATGAAATCAAAAGGTGGTTGTATTGTGATGAGTGTATAAAAAACAGAAACAAAACAAAAGAAAAAGTAAGTACTTTAATCAAAACTATATCACAATCAAACGATACTAGTGACATGCAAAAATTAACAAATTTAGTGAAAAACTAAGTACGTCTGGTAAATCAAAATCAATATCTAATTACTTTAATGATTACCTTACAAACGTAGAACTAATAACCAAACATATATATTGTACAACCGTATAAAATTATAAGCCATGCAAACAAATGATACATAATATAGATATTTTTCTGATATACTAAACAACCACATTAAAATTTTGCGGATATGTCCTTTGATACATTTAATTAAATTAACAACAAATTAATCATAAAAGTAATCAAATCCATAAAATATGATTCTTCTTCTGGATTAGATGAAATTAATAATGTTCCCGGGCTGTTACTTTCTACGAATGATATGTTATCCAAATTATTGGTAACAAATTATTTTAAAAGCATTTTCAATTTTAATTCCCATTTTATACAGAATTAGGACTGTCTATGTTATGCAGGTATGGTTAAAAATGGAGTTTTGTGTTTCGACATAGATAAGTAGGACATAATGTTTTTATTTTTTTTTTATTTATTATTATATGTATCTTTATTTTTTTCGATATTTTATTTTATTGAGGTAAAAATTTAAAACAAATATTAACTATGAATTCCAAAATATTTATTTAATTTTTTTCAAATTTGACCATTTCTGTTTTTACCCAAACATATTTCTTTACCTTTAATCGTATGGTTCTGTTGTTTTTCCGTACTTCATAGTTTAATATATTATGTTTCAATTTGAAAGTAAATTTTCAGGTATGGGATCTATTTGGATGCAGCCGCGTATTATATATACTAATATAATATAGTAAATTAAGAGAGCTATATTAAATGTTTTATCTTTTATGTTAATAATAATACCTAGATATAGCTATACATAATGATAAATAGTTTCAATTTCCTACGAATAATAGTTTGACTAATACCTAACCTATACGGAAAAAAATGATTCGTCAATTCCACCCGATGTATGAAAAACATAATTTTGTGAGAAAAAAATCGAGGAAGTCTTTCTGCTGTATAATAGTTATAGAGACTATTAATATGTAGGCCACTATAATGGATGTATTAAATTTGAATCCATTGATTAGTTATTTCATACGATAAACGATTCTGAGCGGAGACCGTCTGCCAGCATATATTTCTAAGAATTTAAATTGCTTTATAAGAAATTTATTTTGCTATTAATAATAGGTAATTTGAGCTAATTTTTTTTCAAATACAAATCAACACAAAATACAAACCAACTATTATTATAATATTATTTAATTCATTATAAAAACTAAACAATAACTGTTATAGTTCTTAAACTTCATATTTACATATTACTATATAAGTCATTAACAAGTAAAAATATAAAACATAATAAAATATCTAAAAACGTTATTTTTTGCTTAAATATCCGATTCCGTATAAACTTGAATATGAAATGTCTATAAAAAATTGTACAGATGTAGATAATAATATATGATTGTACTAAAAATGTAACTATACATTTGTTCAAACATATTCTTTTGTTATGGCAATTTTACTATAGCTATTATGATCATTATTTTGTGTGTGTGTATTACAAAATTATAGAAGGAAATAGGAAATCCAAATTAAAATAAATATTACTCTGTTAAATTATTGTATGAATTATCTATAGTGATCCATACCTATGTGCAGATATTTAGGATTCAAACTTTAAGCTTTAAAAAAGACACGTTGAAATGCAGATTATTACTTCGTTTCTGAACCTTATCCATTTGGATCTAAGTACTAGTTATAATTTCAGACGAAAAGAGTATAAATGCCGAATAGGTAAAAAATATTGTAACTTTTAAAATAGAACACGGGGTTATTAATCTAAAATGTACCAATCGGCAATCATATTATATATATCGTAGTAATCCATCGCTTGTATTAATAAGATAATAAGGTTTTAATAATTATTTATATTTTAGTTTAACTATAATAGCTTAATATTAAATTATTTAGTCGATTTAAAAATATATATTCAAAACAATTTTTAAAATTAATTTCTTTTGTACTTCAAAAAACTTTCCTTATACAATTCATATTGATTGTATCATATTTGAAGTATAGTATTGCAAACTGTGAACTCACGAAATCGTTATTTTAATGAAGAATAAATAAATTATTGAACTAACATCATATGCGACGAGTGTATTGAACATTTCGTTATAATATAGAGTTAGTGGTGCGCAATAATTAATTTTACATTGTTTAATAATTTAATAATATACATATATAATTTATTGTTGATACCTATTAAACATTTTTTTGTTTTAGTATGAAGTATTCATCATGTTAATTATAATATAGAGCTCATAGGACGAGATAGAGTCATGGATTTGGGAAGTTAATATATTTATCACGATCGTGCATGCCAAAAATGATAAAATCCCCTATAAATTATTACATAGATATTTTCTGAGGACTAAGCTCCCAACCCTATTAACTTTCTATCTGTAAGGTTTTGAAACTAAGTATATATATATAGTACCTACAGAAATTTGGATATCTTAAAAACCGGAATAATACGATAACGTTTATTTTTTACTTTATAAAAGTCACTATACCACAATAATATTATTATTCAAGAATAGGATGCATTACACGAGATTTAGATATGAACCGTATTCTAAGGATGTATACGAAACGTCTTACCCACAAGGTCTTTCGGTGAACACAATGTAATTAGGATGCTCGTCTGGATTACGTTCGACGAATTTAATACAAGTAAAATTTTCCCAATGCCGCATGGCTTGTTTGAACAGTGCTTTGTGCGGACCGCCGAAGCTGCTGTCGATCTCGTAAGGTATTACGCCAAAATCCCATACCCTTTCTTTTCTTGCCGTGGCCGCTCTACGTCTCCTCAAATGGACAATGTCCCTGAAACCAAACACATTATTTCGACATTATCAGATTGAATTATTGAGATGGTATAGTAAATTATATTATCGTTTTCCAGTGAGTGCGTATTCTAATTTGCCCACTTCCGACTTACACTAGGAAGTAAAATTTGTAATTTATTAAGAAATACATCTATTTAATACGAGAACAATAATATTAATTTTTAGTACACCAAACGCGTAGGTATATGAATTATGAGTACATATTATGGATACCAATACGAGTAGATAAACTAAATCTCAGAAATTCGATAAATACTTATAAAATATCAGATAGAGAAAAAGTCTCAAATGCTAGAATTTCAAAATGCATAGTCCTCATAAAAAAAATAATATATAAAATAATATAATATGTGTGTATAATGTAATTTTATAGTAATAATCAATGGAGATTACTATAAATAAATAAAAAACATAAGCTATTAAAGATGAATTTTTAAAACTGTAAAACGTATTAACACCATAAATATCATATACAAGTATCTATGTTCACATACATACTTTATATATTTTACAAGTTATTAAATTATCATTATTAATATAAGCTACAGAAAGTATATACATAATTATTTTGTAATTTGATAAAGGGTTTAAAGCTCGTTTAATATTATATAAATAAATAAATAATATACAGCTAACATAGTGGTTTTCTAATTTAATTTAAGTGTTAGGAGAAAATTTTTAAATTTTTAAATTTGTTTAATTAATAACATTTCACTTTTGCGTCCTGGGATGGAGTAAATTTGTATTATATGCAAGAATACTTACACTAAATAGAGAAATGTTAAGTTTTAAATCGATCGAAAAGCAATTTTATTCATTCGATGTCATTAATATTCATATAGGTACATTACATTACACTGTGGACAGAATAATTATTCAGTCAATTTATTATGAACTAACTAATATTTTATAAAAATATAAAATACATCGAAATTTTTTTTTAAATATCCTAATATTTACCAGGTTTACGGATAAAAAAACACATTATTTATAACATATTCTTTTAAAAACGCATGTTGATTATTATTAAAACATTTTATTTATTAGTGTGTGAGGTGTGACGTTTGTAAAAATCTTTCTTAAAAACATTGTTGTAACCTCGCAAACGTAATGATAAACTGCTACAATAATATTATAATACTCGAAATATAATTAAAGTATTCTCTATCCTCAATATGGGATATAAGAATATTGTGTGGGCAATTCATTCACACAAACAAGCGAACACATGGCATCTCTAAACATTCCTGCAGCCATAATTAATCAAATATCATTGGAACCGCGAAGGAACATAAATAATAATGGTAAAAATCAAGCTCACAATTTTCCCCAGCAAGTAAATCAGTTGTATCGATTGGGATGAAAACACTCAAAATAATACTATTGCAATTATTATATCAACGTCACGAAATAAGCATAAGATTTTAGTTGTCTTCCTTTGAAAATTTCATACTTTAACTTCATATTTAAGGATTTATATTTCTATAATAATCCTATAAGCTAGTACCTGATTGAAGTGCGGTTAATAAGGCATTGTCAAAGAACGAGGTGGTTGATCTAGGTTTTATTTTTGATGAGAAATTGTGTTTCAGCCGACACATTTAAAATACTATAATTATTATGTCCTATAAAGCTTTTAAGTTGTTGAGTTTTGTTAAGCTTGTATTTGCGTTGATTTTAAATTATCGTCCTCTAATCCTTCACTGTTTTATCGTAATTTCTGTTTTTAAGGACGGTACAATTTAATTTTCTACGATCCTATCACTATAATTGATAAGCGTCAAGTTAAAACTGCAGGTAGAGCGAAAGTTCTTCAACTGGTATGCATTTATTTTAAAAATTTAATGTTCCCTTGTTTTGTGCTATCGATTTAAAATGTTTAGCTGATAAAAGTGTTAATAAGTAGTAATATTATTTAATTGTCTAAAACTATTTATTCGAATATAGATTCTCCAATATAATTGGGCGATGTTAATTTTCTAGTATCCTAGAACTTTCACCGTTCCTATATGTTACATACGTTGTTTAAAAAATAATCAACTATACAGAATGATTGATAAAGCTGGTCAATGAAGATCCATCATTTCTTATTTGATTTACTATTACAACATTGTCATGTTTACTATTCTGATTGTAATTCACTTCAATTTTAGTTTTCTATATAATTGATTTTAATGTATTTTGAATTGGGTTCTCTCCCTCTCATTCAACAAAAAACACTCATTTCCGCAAACAGGGAGGGAATGCTTACACCATTTTTTAAACAATTGCGACCGTATACACGATTTGATATATAAATATATATAATATACTGTTTTATTCGTTATTGTTGTTATTTCAGTACCAAGCACATAATATTATGACGTATGCAAAACAACCATTTCCTATGCTCAAGATAACTTTTTATTTTCTGTTATCTACTTATCCCATAAAAACGAAAAGGATTTTTTATTTTTTATTTTTTTTTACAATGTTTTTAAGAACAACGAGATTCGACATAGTGACTTAATAGCTATGACTTGTTCATATTGTACATAACTAAACAAATCAGAGTAATTTACACGAATACATTTTAAGTATAGGGTAATTCAAGTATAACATTAAACTTAATAACAACAGTAAAAATTTAACCTTGTTAAGGTATATTTAACGATTTCCAATTAATTTTTATAAATTATTTTGTAGTGTTTTTTTAGAATATTATCTATGATACAACCAGTTTCTATAAGAAGATGGAAATCTTTTTTTATGAATTAATAATTCATATCCAAATGTTATCAGTTATTTTTAACTTAAGGCTAAGTTAACTATAATAATTATGACAATATTTTCTTAATTTTATGTTTTTGTTACTCTCGTGAAATACTTAAAAATTAAATTAAAAATGTATTTGTCTTAAAAAATTGTTGTGCTAATTTCTATATTTTTAGTGCAGTTAATTAAATTCATAAGTACATACATAAGAGCATTTGTTTTTTGTGCTACTTGTCCTAAACTTTGGTTATTATATACATAGGTATGAATGATTATGAGCCATCATAAATCGAAAAAATAACAATTATTCGTACCTATGTGATAATATAGGTAAGTAATACGCAACTCCGTAGGTATTGTCTAACATATAATTTAACCAATTATAACTTATAATAAAACATTAATATAGAAAAATAAAACGTTATGACATTGTGTTCAAGTGACAACGATTGGCGACATTTATGCAGACCACTTATGTGTACTATATGTAAGCACAGCTGGACGCTGGTACCTAGTATTATACAATGTATAATGTATATATAGCGACAGACGTGCCGACGTGATGACCTGACAACCGAAAATCAAACTCGACAATACGTTCGTCTTGCAGTCTTTTGCACAACTACAACGTGTCTCGTATGTAATACCTTAACTGTAATAGAGTTGTCCTATCAGCTATCATGTGCGTACCATGGTCCCGACGGTTGGGTAACAATAATGATTTCGTTTTTCGAAATCGACCGCACACATTTTTGATGAAGAGAAATGTTTTTTTTTCGCTGCCCTGATAAAAATATGTCGATGAAAATTATTCACGATGAATCCATATGGATCACGGTTCACTAGAGTTCTAAAAATGATTTTCTATTTCATAAAATATATTATTATAGTGATAGGAACGTCATGTCTCTTATAGAAAACAGTAAGTGAAAATGTTAAATTTGAGTTCATACGAAGAGAATATAAATTCTGAAGAATTTCAATTTTCCTTATTTAATATAATAATTAAGGATCGATTTGTACACGGCAGAACGAACGTATGTAGTGTGCCATGTGTTTTTTCTTAACAATTCTTAACATTCTTAACAACACGTATATGAGTAACCAATTATTTTTAACAGTGTTTTTTATTTTTAGATTGACTTATGATTATGTAATCAATCCTCGGAGTTATAAACTAAATACAATTATCTCCGAATTTAATATACCTACAAAGAGTAACTATACCAAACTAAAAATATTCTAAAAGAGCACTTAAAAATCATCAAAATTTAACTCAATTTGTATTCTTTGTTTCTATATACATAGTTTAACCTGATAAACGCATTCATTGTATTGATAAAATAGAACGAGTTCATTATTTTTCACACTGTGTTACATATTATGTAGTGTATACAAAATAAAAGTGAGAACTATAACTATTATGAATGAAAAAAAAATCCTTATTATTATACATTTATATAATTATATCAATAATTTTCGTACTTGTCAGTTATGAACACATCATCTAAAATACATATATATATGAAAATAACTCAATAGGTAGGTACAGTTTTACTATTTCGATGAAATTGTATAACTACAATATTATGTAGGCTCGTCATAAATTCATTAAGAAACGTAGTAAAACATTGACAAATATTAAAAACTATACCTACATTCAAAAAAAATCAGACATTTTAAATATCCACACTTTAATATATTTGTAAACGAACCCTTTATGTACACTCACACATTTAAAAGAATCATAAAATGCAACTACAATATAATATGATCATTCAAATTATTATTTTGTTGAGTTGATATAGCGCTCCGAAATGTGCAGATGGCATCGATCTACATGGTAAACTAGAGACAGATGATTGGTACCATTTAATTACAAATGGCATTTTTCAGCAGTGTCTGTGAGAAGAAAACGACATGAAAATGTACCTATGCAGCGAATACAATTGTTTTAAACATTTAGCCAATAGATCTGCGCTTTCATTCAATTTGTGTATACGTTAGTATTGACAAATACAGATTTAAAATAGGAAAATGTGGCAAATGTGTTGTTTATTATTGTTTTATGTTATAATTATAATACACGACTAATTTGGTGTACTAACTGATATCCTGATATATTTTTTTAAATTTATAAATTATAATGTATACATACTATTATGTAAGCCCCTTGAGATAGATACCTGCTTAGAGAATTATCAATAACTGCAGTTTTATCCCGATGATCATCGTTTTTTCTCTTGTTCAAGTGGTTTTTCCTTGTCCTGTTGTTATGCCTGTGTCTTATCTTGATCTGCGGTACATCAATTGACTTACTCGTCCCTGCTGGTACGATACCCTCTTCTTCGATTTGCAGCCCTTCGTTGATTTCTTTTTTGTATTTTTCAACTTTTTCTGCATATGCCCTTCTGTCTTTTTCTTTTTTGTTAGTGTACTCTACATCGGGTACGGCTATATCACCCATAAAATTACCTGAAAAAAATTCTTTATTAAATACCTGGTTATATTCGAAATAATATAGTTTTAATATTTTATTTTATCTACACTCTTTAAATTACACTTTGGATATCTATAAAATAATGATTTTATTTTATTTTGTATTTTTAATACCAAATAGTTAACCAGAAATTGGAATGAATTAGCAATTATTAATGAAATAATGTAATGTAAACAAAAAAGTAGACACTGATGAATAATAACAGTTGGAGCAGCATTTTTGATTCTTAAATAAGACTACGAATTTTGTTTTTCTTCAGGGATTATAGATAATTGCTATTAATTTTAAAACGATTTAAGCACATCAGATATTCAGAATGTGTTGGGCTAACTGTACATAAATTCATAGAATGCAGTGGGCTTGAATAATACTTTATTAGTTGTTTTAATTAAACAATTTTAAATTTTACAATCAAATAAGCAGTAGCAATTTATTGGAAAACAAACCAAGTTTCGCGAATTAACAATGGCCAAAAATATATTATCATAGTTATCTACACTATAACACCTATTATATTTATTTATAGTCTTAATATTCAATGCATTGGATTATCCGATTATAAAACCAATTATTTGTGATGGTCAATTTATATCTTTTGTTTTATAATTATTTAAAACGCGATTATAATTTACTTTTTTCTAAATATAATATAATATAATACTATAATTTATATTTTTTTGAAATATTATAATATATAATGAGATTTTATAATAATGGCCACTTCAAAATTATTAATTTAAAGTCTTCAGACTTTTAGCATAATTCAATGTATACCAAGTGTTTAAAGCAAATTCCAGATTATGATCTGGAATTTGTTTAATACTTCAATAATACGGACTAGAAATTCCGGTAAAATATTTTTAACATACACATAAACCCAACCCAATAAATATTAAATATATGTTAATAAAATAGTTTTTTAATCTAGTCTTAATAGTTTGATACGCGCTTATTTTAAATGTTATTAAAATTAATACAACGCCTCCAGGAACTTAATCGTTATGTCTCTATATTAAAGTACAAAATATCAGTTATATATTTTATTATATTATATATGTATACACTGCTGATGTATCCAATACCTATTTATAAACGCACAACAATTCCCTGTATGAAAATCATATGATTACAGTTTTATTTTTTATTTTGCTTTATTTGGTATACTGTCTATATATATATATATATATATTACTTTAGTAATTTATACCTTCAGCCAGTAAGAGTGATATGTAACTTATTTATCACAAGTATCTGAATGATGTATCTACTACGCACGTTGTAGTCTATAGAGCAAACGAAACTGTTTTACTGACTTAAGTGGGTAGGTACCTCGCGAGCAGAACGTGTCCCTTTTCCTAATGCTAGGATTAAGAATAGGTAATAATGTCATTAATTTACGTGATAAACTCGTCCCTTAACCACTACACGAGTATTATAATAGTATAGTATTCTTGAACAGAAATCGTTTGAATACTATTGAACTTACATGCGTTCTATTATATGTGGTAGGTAGGTAGGTACATCAGTCAAGAGCGAAATACAGATTTGCGTAACAGCTAACAATGTGTCCAGTGTTGACTCGATTGGCCATACACATTATATACTTTATAGTTTGTAGATTACACAATCTAGGCGTACGGTGAGCATTAAGTATAATACGGATTAGCCGTTTTTAGTGTGCGCGTTTTAAACAAGTTTAGAAACACGTTTCGGCCTCCGTTATTTATATATTCTAAATTTCGAGAAAACCAAACCAAACCAACAAAAAATGAGTTCAGATACTATTTTTTGGTAAGATTTTACTACCAATGTTTAACGAGTTTCTAATATTTTATTAAATGTATAATACTCGATTATTTTTGACATAATATAATACATTATATACAAAATACAGTATCAAGATACTATAACTATACAATTTACTATGAACTATAGTTTACTTATATACGACGTAAAACATATAATTATTATTAATTCATTGTTTCGAGTGGATGTATGATGATTATGTTACTTTTTTTTTCTAAAACGCATCAAAGACGATGTAAAAACATTCAAAAGCAATGACTATATTATTACTCAATCCTTGAATTCTTGAAAAAAAAAAAATGTTCCCGACGAAATTAAATCTGACAAATGAGCTCTGTTTCAGAATTTATTATTTTTAATGCCCATTATACGCGTATCTAACTCTAAATATGAGTATACATAAGTGTATAACGATAAAAATAAGACTTTCGCTTGTAAGACATTAGAATCCGTATTTAAATGACGTGTTTGATAATAATGTGTAGTGTTAACCAAAGTGTATAAAAAAAAGGAATAATATTAATGAGATATATCTTCAATACTACAGAGCGTGCACATCGTAATTGCCTGCTAAAAGTACCTATATAGCTATATTATACCCATATAATATAATAACCTCAATATAAACAATATGTATAAATTATATATACATATTAGGTATTATGGCTATACCACGCATGGTACAACTCTTAAAAACGCGTATGGTTAACAAAAAAAAATTCGAAAATGAGTGCGGTTATAGTGTGTTATAATTATACGGTACAGCGGATTCTCCAGTAGCGTACGTATGCATCGTATAAACGTATAGGTAGGTAGTTACCTACTAGTTAAGTAGTTGGTAGCATAAACGTATGATGTATAAGTGGTTATTCTCATTCGGAAGCGATAGAAATGAAAACGAAATTAATAACGCTCGATGATATTTGGGTCGAGAAAATAATATAATAACTTTTTGTTGATTCGAGAAAATTTGCACGAGACAAGCCTAATTGTCTCACTCATCCAGTCGGTGTACGCAATATTTCGATTGAAATATCTTAACTTTCGTCAATAGTTTAACGAAACCTATTAATGCTACCGAAATCATATTATATAAGTACTCATGTTCATTCACCGAGTTACACGTTAACAGTCATCATCAAAGATGCCTCGAAGCGGTGGGCGGAATTATAATAAGTTCATTTCATTTGCATTAAATCCGAAGAAGTTCCTCCCCCGAAAGAATTAAGATCACGACCGTGGGCCTCGACGAAATGGGGTACGCGTGAAACTCTATGTACCATAAACTGGTAGATATAATTATTAACTCATTAGGATGTTCGAATTATTTATTTATTGCAATAATGGTAATAACTCATATGTACTAACCATAATCGTGATATGGTATTGGTATGGTATAATACCTACCTCTATGCTCTTTAGCTACATGATGCCTGATTGTAAACAGCGAGTAAAAATGTCAGAATCATGTATGTACACAACTCGTAAAAAATTAAATCCAAGTCGATTTCTATTTGAGGTATAGACAGAAGTCTTGGCTAAGGGTATAACATATTGGAGTGTACGACCGGTTCCATAACGTGAGTATTTGAATTATTTAGTACATTTTGAACTTTAAGTGGAAATAAAGTAAGATTACTTATAGCCTATTGCAGTTAAAATTCATTATTGTCTCAAAATATATGTTTTAACAAAATCTGATTGATTTAATATTAATATAATATATTGATAAATGTGAACTATATTATGTTTAACTATAAAAGTTAGTATAAAGAATAGTTGCCGAGTTGTATGTTCTAAAAATGTAATTTACTGTGTTTTTGATGTAAAAAAATATTATTATAAATATGTATTAGATACAAACAATTTTTAGTATTTATTACTCGTTACTATAATTATTATTATTATATCCAACAATAATGCAATATGTAAATTTGATAATGTAAAAGGATATTATAATTTATAGTATTTATATTGTATTATAATTTACAGAAGATATATAATAAAATATTTGAAATTAGCTAGAAATTTCAATACGTATGTACATGCGTTGAGATTATTAAATATTAAGAGGATGCCACACCCGAATATGTTGTCTCAGTCTCACAAACGTACAATACATCAAATTTGTGTTCGGCAATTTCTATTTTGTGTAGTTACCTCTAATAACAGAGTGAATTAATTTAACTTAAAGGTACCTAAGAACATTATTTGTGTTTTCTCGTAAGGTTTTTACGATATAATAATTTTATGTGAGTAATCAGTGTCTAAAATATTACAATTTAAAACTTCCAAATATGACGTAACACTTTAATAGTAAAGTATGGATGAATACAATATTCAGCAGTTCAATTTTAATCCAAATTCAGTGTTCAAAAAATTGTTAACGTTGTTCAATATAAATTATAATATACATTAGAACATAGCCTACCTATTTAAATGTTTTATTTCAGTATGTACAGAATGTCCATATAAGTTTATACAGACTACAGTAACTTATTGCAGAAAGATAAATTTGGAGACATATTTCATAACTATCACTTAATGATAAATATTAAACAGAATTAGGTACAATTTTGTACCAACAAACTGTTTCTATTACAAGTCTAAAGCAAAGGCCAGACTAAAAATTATCTTCACAACATTTTACGAAGAAGAGGTCATGACTTCATAATATAGTAATTAATACATACTATATTTACTATGAATATAAGCTGACCTCGATATTGTGTTGGTACACACGTAAAACTCTTTTTAATTACTGTTTATTCTACTAAATACTAATTATAAACTATATAAAATATAAAGTATAATAATTAATAAATGCCTATTTTATTTATTTTCAATTTAGCTAATTTTTTTTTTCATTTAATTATTTATGATTTATGATGTTTCATTATGTTTCTAGTGTATCATTATTGTCGCTTAAGAATCAAAAACAATCCCCCGGTTATTTCTTAATTCTTATAATGTTTGAACAGAGTAAAAAGTTAGAACTATAATTTTTCCATTTTGTAAGATCAAAAAAAATTGATTAGGTTATTAATTTTTTTAACAATGAATATTATATTCTTACGTGATAGTTTTATTTTTTTTATAAATTAATTGAATTATACTACCTATTGAATGTGTAAAAAGTATTTAATACTTTAATATAATAAATTAAGTACCTATAGATATAGGTATAGGTATAGGCATATTAATATACCATGATACTTATTTTAGTTCAGGATTTCGTATGATAATATCTTTCAACAGTGCTATATTTTTAAGTTTATAGGGATGTTAATTAAAGTTTATTAAATTTGCGAAATCAAATAACAAATATTAATAATAAACGATGATCATGTACCTCTTTATTCGCGAATATTATATTTTTGAATTTAATTAATGGGTATTATTACTATACAAATTACATACGTACTTTACAAGGTGCAAGTTAGATTTGTTTGGAATTAAAACAATTTAACCTAATCTTTATTTTGTGTGAATGTCATACCTACAACAAAATCTTAATTAAAAACCAAATTTAAAAATATATATTTTCTATTTATACATATTATAACTTTTCAAAGAGTTGAGATTCATTTTTGTTCAATATACATACATTAACCAAATTGAAAATGTAATTCATCGACGATAATAGGTGACAAAGAAAAAATATAATATAATATTGAAGGATTTTAAGAGAAGGTCGTCTTGCCAAAATGATACCTTATTGTATGTATTTTAGATAAAGACAAAGTAATAGCTAATGCTGTATTATAAGCTTGCAGTGTAGTGTTAATGTCAAAATATTATAATATAAGTAATTTAAAGCATATAGGTAAACTTCGAACATATCATTTTTTTATGAAAGCTTAATATAGCTAAGGCAAACTGAAAAGTATCTATCTAAATGATAAATTGACATCTCGTTCCAATTCAAATAATATGTACCTATATAGCGTAAATATTTATTGGCTATTGCCTGTTACCTATAATGCACAATTTTTTTAATGAATACTGTATTGCTATGTAAGTACCACGTGTAGTATTCAACAGTCAAATACTAAGAATATTATAATTTAAATGGAAGTACCTTTACAAGTTTAAAATGTCTAAAGAGTTAATAAAAACAAAATAGTACATAAAAATATATATATGATACAAAACCGAACTCTAACGACTTTATACTTTGAAGAATTTTTTAATGCTGTTAGATTATTTTTTAAACTGTTAAAGACGTATACTAGAAATTCTGTTCTTGATGTTTGAAAGAATATACGAGTTCCAAAGATTTATTATATTGTTTTTGATAATAAATGTGAGTTATTTTTTTATATGTTGATTTTAGAAACAAACAGCGCTCAATTATAATAAAAATGTATAACAATAATATTATACACTAAGAAAAAATATTTGATGTATAATATGCATTTCATATATGTACCATAGAAGCAGGTATTATATGATAATTACATAAAAAAACATTGTAAGTTATGATTTATAAACATGGTCTAACATATATTTTAAGATCAATATTTAGCTTTTTTGAAAAACTCTTTTAATATTGCACAAACTGAAATTTATATTTATAAATCATGATATTATTATAACAATCGAAATATTATTGAATACAATATCGAATACACAAGTCCTACTATATTATAATATAGAGTTCATCGACATTGTGTATTTTAACGACCCAAAGTCTAGAAGCAAATACGAGTTCTATACCAATCATCCAGATGAAAAAGAATGTCTTTCACCAAACTGTCGTTTTACTTTATAGGTTCACCTTAACAGTTATTCTGATATTTTTAGTGCACTGCGAAAAACCCTCCCTGTATATCAAATATAGCTACTATAAAACTGTAAACGACGAAAATTACCTCCCCGCGGGCGAGTTTATAAGAAAAGCGTGTCAAGCACCCCAAACAGTGAACACCAGATCTACAAGGACCCCTCGTAACGTATATATACGTATACACACAAGCTAATATAAGTTATTTCTTTCCTCTTTTTTTTTTTAACATCGTTACTTACCGGCTTTGCAGGGGTCTAAATCGACATCATTAGACATTTTTTTCGGATAAATCGAGCAAAGCAGTTCATCGGCGGTAAACTTGGAACAATCGGCTGTAGGCCATAATCCCGCCAAAACGTGGATCAACAAGACGAACCCTCCGACCGCCTTCATAGCGACTTCGAATGTCGTCCCTACACTGGCTAGTGCTCAACACCGTTTGACGACGATCGTTGTCTGCATATTATCCTGTAAGAGGAAATATTATAATATAATATCGGAAATTATGGTGGTATTTACTTTTTTTATAACAAATAAATGTACAGTATTAAAAATAAATAATATAAAATAATTAATATAACACGCGCCCGTTAAACGTACAATCATCATAATATATTGGCTCTTATCACAAATGCAGTGTGTTATATGTTTTATTTTGTGATTCAGAAAATATTGCGTGGCCTCGTTTCTCTTCCTCGTGCGTACCTATATCACAAAGTCCACGGACGTTTTGGACACGAGAAAAACGGTGTTTAGAGTTTATTAACAGCGATATCGGTACGATTCGTATTCAATAATGTCAATAAAACTAGAAAATATAATTAATAAGTAAAACCGATCACGATTTAATACAATAACACAACAGAGTTAAGTTTTCATTATTTTAGAGTTGTCTGTTTAATTTTTTGAAATTGTACTCACCAATGTGTAAGAACGTAATGTGTTTTAACTAAGATGATAGGCAATAGGTACTGATTAAAGAAAAAAATCGAAACATAAATAATTTATAAAGGTTGATTTGATCCAATATACAAATAACAGTGACAATATAAGCAATCTTTTTTTTTAATGTTCTACATCGAGTTCGTAAAAATCGGTTAATTTAAAAACAAGAATATTTTAATATCATTCGTCTGAAATAGCTAGACAATAGGTACTACCATGCTATTTAGTAGGTATGCTCTGGTTTATAATGAAAAAACGTCTGACGACGTGAAAATAAATATATAAAATATTAACTATAATTTAGAAGCCGTTAGATACTTACGGCTGTTTTAGTTGTACGTGTCGGCAGTTTTCGGACGAATAAAAAATTATTTAATGTATATTTGAATATTCGCAATAAACGTACGCACAATTAGGACGGCAAAAAAATATGATGAGACAATACTGTATATTATAAGATTAATTATTTTTAACACACACGACGATACAATATTGCAATATCATTAATATATTTATTATTAAAGTATAATATGAACACGAAACGACCGGCTCGCGCGCCTACGGAACGACGCAGCACGTACTACGCCCGGCACGAGTACTTCTACGGTTACTACTAAAGAGCTCCCGCGAGACGCGATGCGCCCGTACCTATATGACCAATAATTTTATCCACCCTCTTTCGCCGTATCAATCTCCCGCGTTCGCCGCCGCCGACGCCGTGTACCATAAATATTGACATGCCTATCACACGTCCTGTCGAACCTATATCGCCGCACACAGTATCGCTTTTTGTATAATAATAATGTTATAATATCGTTATTGAATGTGCTAGCTTATTATTATTTACCCAACGAGTATATTAACCTATTTAAATGGCAGCAAATATTGTTGTTATTATTATTATTATACGGCTAAATGTCTGTTTAACTCTGATAAATCCTAAAATCGATCGGACTGTAATAATAATAATAATAACAATAATAATAATAACAATAATAATAATAATAATAACAATACCAGCAGCTATAAAATCAGCCGTCGATGCATAATTATGTTTTCGTTTAAGGCGAATTTCATCGGTGAAAAAAACCCAACAGTGCAAAAATAAAAAATAAAAATTCCTATTTTGAATCATAATGTTATTGTCTACTACAGTCTACACTTCAGTAAAAAGTAAAAAGGTATAATCGATTATATAAAAAAATAAAAATGTATTTATCAAATAATTTACAAAAATATTATTTTTATTAATATTTATTCCTAAGTCGTTATAAGAATACCAATTTTATAATATTAATATATTTTTAATTAAAACCAAAAAAAGGTCATAACTCATATTAATTGATATTTTTAAACTACGCGTATTACTACGTATGTACCTATAGACATTCAAATATTCAAAACGTTGCGCATACGACAGGAAACATAAATGATAATTACAAAAACCGTAATAGGTTCGAATATAACATCGTGATATCCATCGTACGCGTTTCTCATATTCGATGCAACCCACCAAGTGCACACTGCAAATTTAATGGTTGTTTTGATATAATATATTTTTCGCACATCTTTCGGATCCGGCAACAAAATATCATGACGTCATTTAATACATAATAGCGTTTTTAGTTAACAACGATTTGCAATGCACCCTTTTCGCACTTAGTCATCGCACTTCCCTCGCCGCGATTTCGTTTACCGACACCGCGTATGTCGTTAGACGACCCCGTGGCAGGGAATAGGGATAACGCCAAATCGTAATTTTCACGTCACGATTTTCGTTTTTCAATCTCGCTCGTTCATAATAATATTATTTATCTATCTGTTTCTCGGGGGACTCCTTATTTTCTGTTTTATTTTTTTCACAAAACCGATGTCAGCCATAAACACAATATCGTGTACGTAGGTACGGCAGCATCCCACGATAAAAGAACATGTGCGGTGATAAATCGTTTTTCGAATGAGTCTACCTTGGGATAGGCATTAGAAAAACAATTTAATGAAATAGATCATTTATGGCGGCGGCCGCGACGGTGGGGTATAGTGTTGTTCGACGTCGTCGTAATTATCCCGAACAGTATTAAGGCGTGTGCGCGGGGGTGGTAAGAACAAAAAGGAAAGAAATGTCCTGCGCGCACAATACCGTGGTTGTAGAACACGTGTCCTTGGCCTTTCGCCATTTGCAGAAACCTGACGCGTGTAGTCGAATAATTCTTAGAAAATGCGGCATTTCATCTGTACGAGCGGTAGCACCTTGGCACACTGGCGGCAGTGTGGAGTCTGTCCGACTGAAGATAGTGTACTAGTGTGGGTTAAAGAATTGTATTATTATTACACACAGTATAGTATAAGTATATACACACACACATACACACGGCCATCAACACGATATTATAACCTCAGCAGCGTTGGTCGCGCAGGTACTCGCCTACCGCGTACCGGGTATCCGAGCGGACCGGTTTCCGGTATACACATGTTGCATACGGCCGAGTGAACGAAAGCAATAAATATTAATGCGTGAGAGAGAGAAGAGCGCCTCGCGCGCGATCTGTACGCATAAAACGTTAGCGACCGAGTCGACATAATGTCGTCCGCTGTGCCGTATGTACCTCCTCTTTCCTGGTTTCCACTTTCCACTTTTCCACTATTATACACGTGTGCAGTGTACACGAAAAATGTTTAGCCGTTTCCAACAACACGGGAACGTGGTCAACCGCGTGATAACCTGGCCAAACCAACCAATCACAGCAAATGTTTAAAGCGAAAGCGTATTATAGTGGAAACCCACCTTTAGAATCTTAGATCATATTATTAAACAATATTGAATTTATTACGTTACCTATACATAGACGTACAGTGAAGCCCCTAAATGACGGACACTAGAGGTTGCTGAAATTTTGTCCGGAATTCGGACGTGTCCGTTAGGAGAGGTTTCACTGTACAGTGTATATATAAGTACTTTGATAAAATGATCCAAGATCTGTTATTATACCGCAGGCTACGATTAGTGCCTAATAATGGTATCCGTTTGTGTTATGTCGAATCGTCAGAAGACGACAACGATGAGCGACGTCGCGCATTACGACAACACACGTGGGAACGCACTACGCGGCACACGCGCCGAGCTCACACACAATTCAAAAACACCTCACACAATACAAGCACACACACGAGTGCGTGCGCACATACGGAAAATACTGGGAACACTGATCGCGGTAGTGGGGACTCGGCGGCGGTAACTGCGGTTACGGCCAAGGTGAATACCGCGGTGAACGAGGTGGGGGCGGTCGCAGTGGCTGGTGGTGGTGGTGGTGGTGGTTGGGCCGGTCAGTTGTGGTTCCCGTGGCGGACTAGTGGTGACTGGAGGTAAGTGCGCCGCGACGGCAGTAACAAGTTGACGAACATTTTACAGTCGGTTCGTCGGTCTGGTTTTGTAGTTATCGTTGTTCGGTTTAACGTTCCTTTAACGCGTACTGCCATCGTATAACGTAAGCAGTCGGCCCGATTACAACGGTGCGGAAATGCGCGGCTATCGCTAAATTTGTTCATTACTTACCGTTTTATTTGTTTTCCGTTCGGTAATCGTTTGTCGCCGATGATCGTGTAACTGTGTGAAAAGAAGGTTTTTTCGCGGACGCGACACACAAGACATCGTTACCGGCATTCGGCCACTGAGATTTCTTCTTCTCCATGGGAGCAGCTCAGTCACAGCGGTCGACTAACGACCGCATTTGAATCGGAAGACAGGAGTGAGACCGGAAAAATTCTCACGGTAAAGGTAAGAAATAAACAGCCTGCCTGCGAACTTACTAGAAATATCATGAGAATGTCACGAGCGACTTCGCGACGAGTACCTAGGGAAACAAATCGTTGGGGACGCGGCGTCGAAACCTCTTCTGTTGAGACGCTTTGTCCTGCACGAAAAACTCCAAAGATCTCATTGTGCGCGCATTATACCTAGGTACTAGAATGTGTGTTTAGGTAACATTTTAATACTTACCAGTTACCGACGTAGCAGGTTTCATGTGTATATTATTTATTTATCACCAAGTATCAATGTTTACATTTCCCACGATTTTATCGCACTCGACGAATTTACTAGAAATATAACAAGGATCTAACGAGCGACTATATGAAATGAAATGTACTGTTGACAAAATTGTCGGACCCTCTTCTGGTCGAGACGTTTTCTGCGGGACGAAAAACTCCAAAGATCCCGCTGTGCGCGTATTATACCTACTTACTAGAACGTGTGTTTAGATTACATTTCGGTACTTGCCGACACGTAGCAGGTAGAATATTAATTATTATTTATTTACCATTAAATGTGTTAACGTTTCCCGTCTCCACGTTCGTCCACATTTGGCCGTAATTTTTCCAACCGAAATAGTGAATAGTGTTGAACGAATAAAGATAAGAAATGACCCGAACCTCGCTTCGCTCCGGGTACGGATGGCAACATCCGTCAGTGATGGGGTGAGGTTTAGTTTTCCCGAAAACGATTGAATTCCAAGAGTCTTTACGACACGTAAAATGCATGGTATTTATATAATTGTTAGTACTATTATGAATCATTACACTTACTATAATAATATCTATACATATAATATTATGAATTATGACCTTGAAATATTGCAATTGAAAACCCGGAGACGTACATATTGTAATTATAATATGTCTATGAATATAATGTACTACGTAAAAGTTCAATGCCGCAATTTGTAGTGTATTCTGTCTTCTGAGTGTTGAACATGAGTTCGTACATATAGGAAAAGCTACTCACAATAGTGTAACACAGATAACAATGATGAGATTTGAAATCAAAGATTGTACGATATTAAAATATTATCACAAGTGTTGATATATATATATAAACATAGACACATAGTATATCCAAACTCATAGGTAAGAGTATTATCTTAATTCTCTTTTTTTCAGGTGTGACCAAAATACCGTAGAGTAGAAAGACGAATAGATAACAAACTTTGAAAAATGATTAAAAATATAATTAAACCCTCGATCACGTTACAGACTTTGGACCATGGATATTTATCAAGTTAGGGATGTTCCTAATATGTTTTTGACGATAAATATCGCATATTTTAAGTATTAACGAATTACTTACACATTTTGAAAACAAAGATGATATTTAATCAACAACGTAAAATTATAAAATGTACACAATATAATGTGTATATGAGCGTACTTTGCTAATTTACACTCAATAGTTTATGTCTATATAATATTACCTATATTTTATATTTTATGACGTACGAGTATGACAAAACACTTATAATACAAAACCCGAGACGTGGAGGTAGAATATTTCAATTTTAGAAATTTAGCTTATTATGTCCTCTCTTATTTTAAAATTTAATAAAAGTACTTTTAAGCATTAGATAATATATGTGTATATGATATTCATTTATTAAAAATAAATAAATATGAGCATTAAAATCTGTAAATTTAAAAACAAATTCGATTGCATGTTGTACACATTATCATAATATCTATTGACTGTAAGCAACCCAAGCAACTCTTTGAAAACATTTATAACAGTACCTATACTGTTAATTATTATGTTTGATATTTGGAGTTTTATAATACCTGCAATAAAATTTGTATATTACCGTCTGACGCCGAACGTTCTCTCCGTAAGCAAATCGTAACCGTTTGTCCGTTTGGACGGCACAAGTCACGAGTGTAGGTAATTTATCCAATCGACGTGACCCGAGGCCTTGTTCTGGATACCGTACGGCCGAATCTTGTTCAAATTCAAACGGCAAACATTGTTAGTATAAAATAGTATAGATGTTTTCACTGAATGATAAAACTCCATTTTGTTCGTTTTTTTCTGCACCCACCCTTTCTTAAGACTTAAGTCTACTAAGACCTACCCGGATCATTGCAATTATGTTTCAGAAAAATTGAGAAATATACTTCGCGAGTAAACAACTAAAATAATATTTAATATAAAATTATCTATTATGCTGCTTATATAGTTTTATAAGTATATATTCTGAATTATAACAGTAGATTAATTTAAAACATTTTGATTCAATGTCATATTGAAGTATTGAACGATAATATATACATGAGTACTTAACGATTGTTGAAAGTAGAATTCATTTATTTTAAAAAGTTTGACAGCGGCGTGTATAGGTATACATAACAAATGACGTTACTATATCGCAATATTGCGTACGACAAAAATTAGGTAATATTATTCGTGATAGTATGTATGTATAATATACAATATACATTGTACATACTGAATTATCGGTGTATACTGTATACTGCTTAGTTATTTAAATTTTTGATATATGCTACATAAATATAAGACAAATTCCGCCTACGCCGATGCAGTCGTCGGTTAGGTTATCTAGAGTCGTGTAAAGCGCAGGTTCGGTGGGTGTCGACTGTTTTTTTTTTTGTGACGGATACAAACGGGAATGGAGCTCAAGTATAAGAAACAAAGGCCGCAAGAAAAATATATTAAACAAGTTTTCGAACACGTTGATTCAATATAATTTTCATAAACGCATTCTGCATAACTGCAGCATTTCGACATATGTATTGGTTATAGACTTCTGGTAAATTTAGGTTTTTTTATTCCATTTATAATTTCGTGCTCCGGATTCTGGAATGACTATGGTTAAATCTTGTTATGTGTGAAAGTTACACAAACCGGGTTTTGTTATTTTATGTGATTTATATAGTAATTTTAAAGATGAACTTTGTACAAAACTTATGTACTTACATTCATTCATTGAATGTAGGTGATTTTCATTTTTAACACAATATTTACCTATTTTCAAATACACTGCAGTCACCGCTTATATAGAAATGATAGAATATAGCTTAAAAATAAACCTAAACCAGAATTTCTCGGATGTGGCTTTTATTTTTCGGTATTTTTTTTTTTTTTTTGGTGCGTGGTCTTTAATCTACTGTAGCTATAACTATTTATGAATCATATGAATTTAGTATTAAATATAATATCACAAATATCCAATGAATCAAATTATTTGAAAGGTATATTTCTTCGATTTCAAAGTAGGGGTGTAAGTCTTAGTTAACTATTGAATTTTGAAACGATTTATTCGATGATACTGGATGCCTTTGTGGTTTTGTATATAGTTTTCCATTGTCAATGATCGAATCACAAGTGCATCACAATGACCGTGGATAATAGTCCGTCGACCCGAACTCTTTGAACACATTTAGCCCCTAAAGCCAAGACGCATGGGTGTTAGGTGCGAGTACTTACTTTAATGTTTCTTTTTGCGGTGAGTCGAGTGAAATTTAAAATTAAGTGATTCGAGAGAGTCCACAAACACAAATATTGAAACCAAACATTCGACCGCCAAATCCAATCAACTGTATGGACCACGCCACCACAGGTTAATGTGCACACGTGCAGTAAGTTGTAGGTACATTAACTATATAATATATATGCAGCAATAATTTGATAAAAAAACATAGTACTCAGTCATAAAATTGAACGAAAACTGATAGAGTTGCTGTGTATTACTAAAGATTTAGTTGTGAGTATAGATCGTAATATCGTATACCAACTACGGTCCTCTATCCAAATATCATGTCTTCACATATTCGAAATGTTGCGTGGAAAAAAATTCCTAAAATCAATCTAATAGGTTTTTGATTTCATTCGTGATACATCATTACTCATAATAGACAAGTTTATTTCGTTTTAAATCACTCGTGTATTGATTATTGATATTTGATTTCAAATAGTGTCCCGTAGGGCATTTGGGCCACCGTCTGCAATGATTAATCTATGCTTTTTTATATGTATGAATATATGACAATGAATTGATTTATTAATACATTTTACTTTTGAAGTTTTTAACATTAAAAAACAATTAATTCTTTGCATTAAGTTTTAAACACTATTTATTATTTTTATTGTTTGTGGTACATATTGCTTAATAAGAAGAGAACCACTGTAAACAGAATTTTTGTATTTTTGTATTAAACATTAATACAATTATAGAAGTTTGTATTCTAAATTATTACCTAACAAATCTAGTACTCACAAATGTAACGAAAAACATTAAGTGAACTCGATGGATATTGTTTAATAACAGCTATTATGAAATTGTTTTCTCCACGATTTTTTCTAAAATATCTAATTCAAAATGTTTTATTAGTTTATAGGCGTTTTTTTTCATTTGGGTAATTGAGCCACGTGAAAGTAGTGTCTATGTTCGTTTTCAAGTAACACAAATCGAATACGAAATCACGAAAACTATAATCGAGGTTTAGAAGACCTTAAAAATAATTATTTAAGAGTGTAATTTCGGCCGAGCTCATAAGATTTGACTTAATAAATAATATGTTAGAAATTGGGTTTATTTATAGGAATAATATCTATTATTTGTGAACATAAATAATAATTTATTTGCACATAATTTATGTGTCATAAATCCATGGATCAAAAATTAGGGTGGTTCATGGTATTTTATTTACTTACCTATAAGTTGTATTAATATTTGTATGTGGCGGCAGCCTAGCCCACTAAAATTAAAAAATCTAAACCCTCCAAAACGAATTCCTTAGAATTTGCCTTAAAGCATCTTATTGGTATATGAGGAATCGCCAAATACACAATGATACTGGAATATCCCTAATAAATATCTGGATTAAAACCCAACTTAAAAACTTTCACGCCAAGCTGAAAGACTCGGACGGAGCCCGCTATTACTAACTAGGAAAGAAAACCCGAAATAGGCGACTACGACCTCGACTGCCCCA